GACAACGGATACATGATAGGTCGATATAATTTGATATAAATTGGAAGATGTCAGAAGTAAAGGTCAAGAAATTTTGGATTTACATCAAAAACACACCGAGGGTGACCGCTGTAAAAGTACCACTCGATGAGACAGCAGAAGCAATCATCGTGGCAGCGCAAAGCAAATACGGACCTGAGATATCTCATTATCCGCTGGTCGAATTGACGTTGGTTGACAGCAAAGGAAAAATCGTTGACCCCACAATAGAAATCGCAGAAATAACTAGTGTGAATTCGAGGGACGAACCATTTGAGATCAGGATTCTCGATATTGAAGGTAAATTTGTGGAAAACGAAGGTAGAGTCGGTCATTCAGTCATCAGAATCATTAATTGTGAAACACGTAACTAGCCACATTGGGAAATATGAAATATGTTAACTCACATTCGTTAACGCAATGTAGATGTTCAAGTGTTTGTACTCGTGAAATACGAGGGTGAAGATATTTATTATCCTACTGCAGCAACCTTTCGAAGTCAATATGAAGTCGACCAATTCCTTGTGGACAAGCATTTTCAATCGGTTGATCACGAGGGTAGGCCGACGGGCACCTCAAGAACCCGTCGTTACAAGGATCTAATTCCACTTTCATACTATTCCATCGTCTAAAGTTAGTGACGTAGGGTGCTATAGAATGTATTGTAGTTTGTCTTACCCCATGCGAGAAATTCCGTAAATTATTGGTTCTAGCATTGAACTAGATGTATTTGTTTGCTATAATTAAACCACTGGAAAAGTAATATACAGTACATACGGTTACGTGAACCCGAACTCATCACATGAACACCCATTTCATTTTTTTTTCATACGTAAGCATACGTGCACACGTAAAAAAAAAAAAAAACTGCTTGATCTCGATCAACGTTGCATTCAAGATAAATCTGATAAATTTTGATGAATGATATTGTATCTATTGTCGTACCGCCGATTCTCTGAATATTCTACATAAATGACCATCTTCCCTTCTCGTAAAAAAAAAAAAAAAGATGGCGTCCCCTGGCTTACTAGACAGAGGTACGAGCGAAGTTATCAATCCCGACACTTATTTCGAAATACATAAACCCCCACGTACGTTAGCAGAAGACGAAGTGAAAGTCAGGGAATTCGTGAACAAACACAGGGACAACAGAAGAATAGTTCTGGTGACCGTAAGCAAAAAATCTAAAGGTTATTTATATATATATATATATATATTCCTTTTAATGACTTTTTTTTTTTTGAAGAGCGGAGGAACCACTGTCCCACTGGAGAATAATACCGTAAGATTTTTGGATAATTTTAGTGCCGGCACTCGCGGAGCCACCTCGGCTGAATA